ACTATTTGTATAACTTACTTTACTTATTATAAGTTACTAAGGAGTTCCCATAAACTCACTTAGCCAAATTCCAAACTTTACGTTTTTACCTATTCGGACATGTTTCACTCTTAATTTTTCTGCGACCACACCGCTCGCAACCAAACCTTCTTCTCGGATTAGATCTTTGTCTTACTTAGTTCCCTTTTCAACAAGCTATCATATGCTCAATTCGGAGCTCATTATCTCCCGTTATCGCCGTTTGAAGTTGGATCAGCAAATAGCCAAACAACCCCAAAAACAGCTCCAAACCACTCACCTTACTCGATTTACTTCACTCAATCCATTCAACCATTTGCTCTCAAATTTTTATCCTACAAACTAGACATCTCAAACTTCATTTTGATATATCACACGCTTAATTTGACTGAGAAACGAAGCGGGAATTAATTTCCCAAATCCGGTCCAGAATCTGCCTCAGGTGCAGGGGCACATGAGCAGTCCGTGTTTCTCTATTTTTTTCAGGCCGAAGATCAATCCAGAATTTCCTCAAATTTTGACACAAGGTAGAGGACATCTCAACCTTCAAAATGGCGTATGGCACGTCCCTATTGGACCTCTATGGAGGGAGATATGCTCTCCCGAAGTTCGCCTAAAATCTTCCAATTCTACAGAAATTTCGCCAGAGTTTCCTTTGTTTTTCCAATAATCCCAAAATTGTAAACGATCATTTAAACCTTAAATGTACCTAATAAACACATGATAATACGGTAATAATCCAATGGGTGGCACACACAAGGACCAACAACGCCTTGGGGCACTTACAACCCAATCCAGTTTATAGTCATTACACAGTTTATACAATAGAGCTCACATTATATTTCTTACTTGTTTCAATCACATAGGTCCCATTCACATGTAGTTTCACAATATAATCATGTAATCATAACTCTAACATAGGCCTAAAATCCTTCCATTTTTTACATCATGCCTCTCTTACATTTACAACATACACTTAAATATTACAACTTACGACTTTAACTTCAAATTGCCTCTTACAATATTACAACACCAATTACAAATTTAAACATAAATTTAAATGATACAAACTGCTAGACCTAGGCATGCCAACATGAACAATATGCCAAATACTGAAAATGTTCCTCTATCACTCTGCGGGCCTCTTGCCCGCTGCTCCAACGCTACAGGTACATCCTGAAATAAATGCCCCGAGACGGGGTGAGATATACGAATATATCTCAGTAACCAAGAGGTTCTGGAGAAAACTCCACCCAATGGTTCACTTCGATGCATATCAATAGAATAAAACAACCACTTTGAAAACGGGATATAGCAAGGGATTTAGAGAAATGTGGAATATAAAGAAACAAACTACAACGATACGGGATGGTAACTCCAATTCCACGTACGCCCTGGGCATATATAAGCCTATGGGTATCATCCAAGGTGTGTTCACAGAAACCACAACCATGATGCCCAAACCAACCAAAACGCCAAAGACATTCCTAGTGTGCTCCTACCCGGATCACACACCATGACACGCAGTCAACTGGAACTCCCTCCTGGAGACCTATCCAGCGGAAGTCCGAAAATGCCCGAAGGCTAATAAAACTGTCTACTGGCCAGAGACTCGGTACCGCAGTACCCATAGCAATAATGCATGCATGCTCATGTGTTCTATACTATTCATACACACTTCCTACCGTTGCCATCAACTGGCAAGGTGGAACAAAAAAGGGGAACAAGCCCCAGTACCAAGAGGTTACCTTAAGTAATTTCCTCACTAGCTTTGCAACAGCTTATCCCACAACTTGGTACACAGTGAAATGCCTACATAGAGGACATTCCCAATCTCTTATAATTCAAACAATACATGCTAATTTATAATTATACATGCCTTGAACTAAATACATACCTCAATCCACTTGGTCCAAGACCAAGGGTAACTCCCAGATTCACGTTTCGGGATTCAAGTCAATGTACGGCAACCTATACAATTACGTACATCCATCAATACGCGTCAAATATCAACAAAACGCAAAATCACAAAAATCCTCCCCATCCTCCCTTGATGGTTCGGCCAATGAAGTGTTATTTTGAGATTTATTTTTCTAAATTTTCTTTCTCATTTTGTTACGTCTAATAAGGTTGTCAATAGGCCAGTTCAAGTGCTGGTTCGTCATTTTCGCGTCGGATTACATCAGAACGCGAAAACCGCAAAATCCCCCCTTTTCCCTTGGAGGTTCGGCCAAGCATGTGTTAATTGGGGATTTATTTTTTCTAAATTTTCTTTCTCATTTTATTACACTCCTTTAGGTTGTTTAGAGGCTAGTTCAACCGTCGTTTTTCCATTTTACGACATTTACGCATCGTTTTGCGAAATATTTCACTTTGGGCTCATTTAGGTCTCTAAACACAATTTAATTTTCCCATTGATTCAAACACTTGCCAATCACAACACAACCCATCTAAGCATCATATAACTACACAAATCATCATCCAAATCATTTTTCAACATCATTTCACTCATTTTTCCTCAAAGGTTCGAATCTTGCCCTATGACATTCCAAGGAATTTCCATTCAATTTTAATCACTCCAACCTTCATACAACCTATTATATCATCATACCATCATGCCACAATTCATCAAACAAGTCTCAACACCAAAATTCACAAGTCCAAAATCATGATCATCAAATTTTTCTAAGTTAAATTCATCAATTTTTACCAATAAATTTCATCGCATTTCTAGCTCTAATACATCATTCTAACACATTATCATCTAATACACATTTTCAAATTGAGCTCTCTAACAACACAAATCATCAAATTCCCCCTTAGGGTTCATGAATTCAATCCAAGAATTAAACTGTTAAAATGGTGAAGAAACTTACTCAAAAGCTTGGCACAAGACTCCTCCAAGCTATCCTAAACCATTGGAGCTCCAAACAACTCCATGAACATCAAAACTCCCACCAAATTCGTGACTGAAAACTGCCCATAACTCACCAATGAGAGGGTTTCAAGGTTAATGGATACCACCAATGTGTTTGGAAAGTTGTTTCCAACAAATTTCAACACAAAAATCGCTTGATTTGGTTAAGAAATGATGGATTTAGAAGGAATTGAAATTTGAATGAAAAATGGGGTTATTTGGGGGGAGGAGCACGGTTTTGGCATGAGAAGGGGAGGGAAGGGTGATGATGAATAGTGGTAGGGTGATGTGGCTTAAGTGGTTTAAGTGAGGTGGATCCCATCGCCACCTCACGCGATTTCAAACTCATTTGAATTTTCCTCTGATTTCACTAAACGTCCATAAATTCAAAACTTATTTAGAAACTCTAATTTTTAACATTAACCATTGTCCTTTTATTATACTTGATCAGATGAATCCGGAGTTTTCCGGTCGTTCGGAGAAAACACTGTTTTAAGCTGTTGCGTGCGCGATTGACACGCTTCCCCAAACAGACTTAATTATACCAAATATTATCAGAAATCATATTTCCTAGTTTTATAGACCATTTATAACTCATATTTGAAACCTAGAGCTCAAATTCAACTGGCACATTTTACGGTGCAATCGTAACGCGATATTTTTACCCGCGAAAAACACTATTCACTGATTTTTCTGAAACTTGCCTGTCAACTCAATTTTTCGTTCTGAATCCATTTCCAGGGTTATTTTTATCATCTGAGACCTTCTACTCAATTTTTTTATCCTCTTAGGGTTGCGTGTTGGCTAATTACTGTTTTGCCCTTTCTTTGTATTTTGGCATAATCTTTAGGATTTTCACTAATCCATCACTTGATTGCTCACTTAATATTTTAATTACTTGATTTAAAATTGTGAGGTGTTATAGCATTCCAAAATGAACTCCGGGGGGTGATGGCTGGTTTAGGACTACATTTTCGCCCTGCATCTCACATGGGTACTTGATGATGTTGCAGGGCGATCCTAGCATCAGTCGTTGGCAACTGTGGGCCTATGGTTTGTAGTATAGGAGGTTGGACCTCTCCAGCGGCCTGCTCGGCTGGGGCTGACTGCATGGATGGAGGGGAGCTTGGTTGTACTGTCTGTACGTGTCCTTCTGACGTCATGGCTCTGGCGTGCTCCGCTCTCCTGGTGATGACAACCATGTAGAGTTGCAAGAAGCGTCCGGCGATTGTTTGGTAGTAAAAATGGAAATAATCCGTCAGATGGATCTTTGGTAAGAGAATGGGAATAGAAGTTTATAGCTTCCCACAGACGGCGCCAATGTACCGTTGGAATCTATAAGCCTACTATGTACCCTTTGAGGATAATGTTACTGTATGGATGGTACCCCTAGCTGAGGTAATGACCAGGCTAGAGGGTATTGCTCCAAGTATAAGCAAGCAAATATTAATGGTGGATAACAAGTATATGACTTAAGATAAACGGGTATAATAACAGTACATAAAAGAAAAGATTTTGCCGTGCCCATGAGGGCTATTTATAAGAAAAATGGTGTGGGTTGGTGAGGTGGGGGTCAACCCTCCTTGGGATGTGCTCCCTTGATGGCAGTGTTAGGCGCGGTTGGCGCTGCCACAATGGCAGCGTTGCACCCACTGCATCAGGCGATGTCAGCACTGAGCAAAGGGGCAGATTCCTTTTGCGGTGCTTATGGCGACTGCCTTTTGTGGTTAATGTCCCAAAGTGGGATATTTTGGTGCATCTCTTGGACGTGCTACAGTCTTGGAGGTCGTGAGGGTCCACGTCAGCCCTAAGGGCTGACGCGGAACAAGGTTGAGGATTGGGCTCCAGTACTTGAGGCATCTGGAACAGTAGGTAAAGTTTTTCCGCGATTAGGTTGCGAATGTCTTCTCAATTCTAATTTCTCAGGATCAGTTTTTTCACTTTGTGAATAACTTGAGTTCTCGAATTTTAAGAATTAAGAGGGAGTTTTAGGAATTAATTTTGAAATTTCTAGAGTCACAATGCATATTTTTATTCCATAAATCCAAGCACTAATTCTAACAAATACGATAGTACACTAATTAGGAATTACTTCCTTAAAATTTGGTATCATGGAAGTACGTCACAATTTTTGAAATTCTATATAAGTAGGCGTCGTATGAATTGCAAAGTAAAACAAAATAATAATAATAATAAGTTTCTTATCGTGTTCTTCTTCTAGATCTTAGGCTTTCCACAACTTAGTTTTTTTTTTTTTTTTAATGCAAAATCTAATATTTTTTACTATTGTGAACAACTTTCAGATTATTGTATTAATTTTCTCCATCCCAAAGGTCATCATTGGACTTTAGTGGTCCATTCTTGACCATACGATTCTGCTTGATCTGATTAATCTTTTCGTAGCCATCTTTTGTAAGTGACCAATCAAATATTTCCAAATTTTGCTTCATTCTCTCCTTGTTGTAGCTCTTAACAGCCATAGTTACGCCTTGCTCATACAACCATCTAAGACATACCTATTACACCAGGAAAGGACTACGTTAATGTTGGCTAAATAAGAAGTAGCTCGGTAACATAAACTTTTGCTAATGATAAGAAACAGATATACTTTGTGATATAGTCATAGTTCTATTCAATGTCTTTAAATCGCAATTGTAATCATGAATTTGTCAAGCAGATTTTTGAATTATAAATAGTACGGAATCTTAAGATTCAAAGACATAATTAAAATTAGCTTGATATATATATATATATATATATATATATATATATATATATATATATATAATGTAAAATGCATAATGCAATTAATGATTTTGAACTAGGAAATAGAAATTGAAAGAGTCACTTAACCATAAGTCTAAAAAATATAATCACAAATCATTAGTCGAAAGTAATATAAAGTGATGGCATAAAGTTTACGTTTCAAAAAAACATAAATAAAGCAAGGATGTAGCCAAATAAGGTGCATATAGAATTTAGCATCTGATTGTGTGAAGCCGCCTCTCTTTCATGGAAAAAATAAAATAAAAAAATAGAGCAATGAAACAGTCAAATAAGATGCATTAGGTAAGTGTGTGAAGCTCTTATTTCTTAACAACGAAAACATGGCAATGAAATAATCAAATGGAGCTCATCAATGGTGTTCCTTTAGTTCCTTTTGATTTAGGAACTTCAATTATTTGAATTTTCAATTTCCTTTGAGAATTTATGATAGGAAAGAAAAAAATGGACAAATTATGGGATAATATAATTCATATGAGTGATGCAAGTATCACAATACGAATCAACGGCTTGGGAAATCGTATCGCGCGGTTCAAATCATGAATCATGCCATTTCTATAACTTCACTTCTGCATTTAATGTTTAGCTATAACTATAAGGTATATCACATGAATAATTTTATGTATTATTATATTATATATTTATAAGTATTACATGAATAAATGAATCATACACGTTTTAGTATGCACAAAAATAGTTGGTAGACATTGTCCATTAACTACTCTTTCGTTACGTTGGATATGGCTCATACTTCGCATGTTGACGAGGATCCTAACTGTCAGAGTCAGCAGAAAGGCAACTAGAATCCCGCTCCCAGGTGATTTATTGTAATTTTCTTAGTAATTTGGACTTTGGCCCATGAATAGCTGTTGTTAAGGTTTTCTAATCCTATTTATATTTTCCTTGCAACGATGGCGGTGAGGTGAATATAGTATAGACAAACTAGACGTAACCTAAATTGGGTGAACCAAGATAAATTTCTGTGTCTATTCTCTCTCTTTCTCATTTCGTTTGCAATTTGTGTGATTGTCGATTTCCAACACATTATTTATAGCATCATTAGTTTTCATTAGCTCAGGCTCGTTTGGTATGAGAATTTTCCTAAAATTTATGGGAAAGTGGGGTGGGACAAATTTATTTCCAACATTTGGTATGATCAAACTGAAAATAATCTCAGAAAACGTTTTTTCTCATTATTCCATTTTACACATGATATTTTCAAACAAAAATATCATCTGATACATGGTATTTTTACTTTTCCATAACATCAATAGAATTAACCCAATATTCTCGGGAAATTTTTGAATCTATTAAATATTTTTTCGTAATTTATCCGCGAAAAAAAATTTCCCACTGTATTCTCAGAATTTTTTTCGGTAAAATAATATCTGATCTACCACAAGCCCCTAAAATGTCTAGTTTTTTCACCTATAAAACTCCTCCAAAATAAAACTTCAGCGAAAGTAAGTTTTGGTACAACAATGATTTAGAAACTTTTAACTTTCATCTCTTGCAAATATCTAAACTACTCAATTGACATTGGTGTTATGTAATGGAAGTTACTTTACAAAGAAAAATAGGTATCTGAGCTAGGATTGCCGTGATTAATCAATGCATCATTGGGAGTGCATGATATCCAATCGTGTAGCCCAATGATTTTTGAAAATTAAAACCACAGCGGACCAAAATCTTAAAGCTTTGTTTGGGAATTTGAAAAGAAAGAAAAGGAAAGGAATAAGGGAGAGGAAGAGAAGGAAATGATGAAAAAATGAAGGATATTCAATTTCTTTGTTTGGGAGTTAAAACTCCCAAATTGAAAGAACTTTAATTATAAGAAGAATAAGGATTTTGGAAGATTTTTTAAAAATTCCTAATTTTTTTCTCTCACTTTGTTAGAGTCATAAATAAGAAAAGAGATTAATAAAACTCTACCCTTTATTTATTTTTTTTCTTCTAAAACTAACTTCCAAATCCTAAAACTACAAGCCCTACAAACTCTTTTGTCATTCATTCCACTACGGATTGTGGCTTATGGGTGACGGTAGAGAAAGATGCGCTGGCCTGTTTGTACAGTTGAGATTGTGGTCCAGATATTTATTAGTTGGGCTTTTTCTTTTTGGATTATATTTATATTATGTTGCATAATATAAACAAGCTTTCTACACACACATAGTGAAGGTGGGATTTCACATTTTTTTTCCTCTCCTCTTACATGTGGATTCCACTTGTAATTTTATTTCAATAACATGAGATAACCATCACGGATAAGTCAAATCCTAAGTTCTAACCAAAATACTACTAGACAAACAACTCTTGATTTTAACTTTTGACCTTATGTATTTGTAATTAGAGTTTAATTAAATACTAATTGTAATTTTATGGTCATTTTACTTATTTATATTATTATTATGTATGTGCGTGTGTAATTTTATATTTTAAATAAGATTTTACGATTACGATTCTGATTCCATGTTTTCAAAGCGTTTGGTTCAGGGTTTTTAAGAAGTTAGCCATGCATCTCAGTGTGTTATTTTTGGACTTCCTTGTTTGGTTGAAATTTTTAAAAAATTTAACTATGTGTCTATTTTTCCTAGCCATCTACATTTATGTGAAAAATTAGGAAAAAAGTACTGTTGAAAAATACCTCTTGCAAGGTGGTATTTCAAGTTATCTAGGCTAATGGGAGAAAGAGGACACATGTGGATGCCAAAAATACCCTCTGCTATTAGGCAACAGTGTTTTCTACAAGGGTTATTTTGTAATTTGATGTTATTTTTCCATCAACTTTTTATTTCTAACCAAACATAGACTCAATAAATTTAACCCAATTTTCTTGGTAAAATTTTGACCAACGAAACAACTTTTTTTTAACTTTTCTATCAAAATCATTTTCCCACCAATTTTTTAGTAATTATATTTTCCTGGTAAAAAAAAATTTATTCTCTCCCAAACACATCCTTTGCCAAACACTAGGTAGGCGTTTCACTCTTCCTTGTTGTCTTGGGTAAAGATATCAATTTTTATTACTTTATTTTTGAGATTTTTTTCTCATCAAAATGTGAATTAAATATTCATTTGGAGATTGAAATATTATCATCCTAGATTAAAAAAAGAAGAAGATAAATTCAACTTTGTGAATTTGAAAGAAAGTTAAAATTGTTACCTGAGCAACAGATTTGCCATGAGCCTCTGCAATTTCCTTGAGCAATTCATTGTCCATAACATCATTGGCACCCCAAATGGTCCCTTTGGCTCCTAAAGGGGAGTATGCTGTTATGATTATACCTTTTGCTTGGCAGTATTCTCTGAGCTTCTTTTGTTGCCATGTTGGATTCATCTCAACCTGTTTGATGGTATCGTCAAGTTTGGTCTAAATTAACAAAGTATAAAGATATCAAACATGAGCGAGCTTATGGGCTTACTTGGTTGATAGAAGGAGGAATTGTAGCAAAGGAGAGTAGATTTTCAAGTTTTTTGCAGCTGAAGTTGCTGACTCCAATACATTTTGTGAGGCCTAGTTTTTGGCATTCCTCCATTGCTGTCCACACACCCTTTAAGTCAAATGACATTACGGACTCTTCAGCATAAGGAAACTCCAAATTTCCAGGCTTCACAGTAATGGGCCAGTGGATCAAATAAAGATCTACACATTCTAATTTTAGAGACCTGCATTGGTTTTGGGCCAACGCCAGATTTGCTTCAGTATTATTCAATTGCTCGTACTAAAGTCATACAACATACACAGAATATACGGTAAAATAAATAAATAAATTCAAAATTATTTTATTGAAGAAATAACTAAAAAATGTATAATAAAAAAGAATATAATTAGAGTGGCTTCACTTGCGAGTTGCGAGTCTTTTGTTCAGAACTTTCATGTTTCAATTTTATATCTATTTTGCTTTTTATAAGTATTAAATAAAGAGATAGGATATTCAAAGAAAGAGAGAAAGAGAGTGAGGAAGAAAGGAGAAGAAAGCAGAGAGAGATTGAATTTGCATGTTATGAATTGATGAATCGAGGGATACAATGAGTTGTTCTTTTATACAGATTAGGAAGTGAGTGACTCAGCAACTCAGCAACCATATGAGTGACACTTGTAACTAAAAGTCTAACAGAAAAACTAACCACTTGACAGTTGGCTAACCATTTCACAGCTGTAAGGGAAGACTAAAAACTAATTACAAAAAGCTCATAAGCTAGGATACAGAAACAGTGCTAATACACCCCCTCAAACTCAGAGGCTGTGATTGAAAGATGTATAATCAACAACTCTGAGTTTGTCACAAAGAGAGATAAAGCGGGGAGCTCCAAGAGGCTTAGTGAGCGTATCAGCAATTTGATCCACGGCTGGCACATGAAGAACTTGGAGTTCTTTAGCAATTACCTTGTCCCTGACAAAGAAGATATCGAGTTCCATATGCTTTGTACGAGCATGCAAGACCGAATTGTGAGAGAGAGCCACGGTGCTGAGATTGTCACAATAGATGAGAGGAGAACCAAATTGAATGTGCAGTTCTCTGTAAGTAAGGATTTTAACCAAAGTATCTCAGCAGTAGCAAGTGCAAGACTTCTATATTCTGCCTCAGTGCTAGAACGTGCCACAACTGATTGTTTCTTTGACCACCAAGAGACAAGGTTGGCTCCAAAGTAAACACAGGCTCCAGAGGTGGAACGACGATCATCCGGATCAGAGGCCCAGTTTGCATCACAGTATGCAGTGATAGAGAAGTGGTTGCTGGGATGACTGGGTTGCAGCATCAGTCCATGTGCAAGGGTGCCCTTTAAGTACCTGAGAATGCGTTTAACAATGGTCCAATGTTCTTCCAAAGGTTGGGACATGAATTGACACATTTTGTTGACAGTATAACTAATCTCTGGTCGTGTCAAGGTGGCATACTGCAGTGCCCCAACTATTGAGCAAAAATGGGACGAGTCAGGATAGTAGTTGGATCCATTTCGCGACAATTTGCAGCCGGATGGCATGGGAGTGGAGATGCCTTTGGCTTCTGCCATGTGAGCCTTAACCAGAAGGTCCTTAATATACTTAGACTGAGAAAGAAAAATAGCACCAGAGGTTGCTCTTTTGACCTCAATACCCAAGAAGTAGTCAAGTTCACCAAGATCCTTAAGGGCAAACAGAGAATTAAGCTGAGTAATTAGATGCTAAACAAGAGGAGCATTGCTTCCAGTAATGATAATATCGTCAACATAAACTAGCATGAAGACACAATGCCCATTGCTGCGATGGATGAATAAGGAAGGATCACACTTGCTACCAGAAAATCCTAGCTGCAACAGACCTCCTTTTAATTTGTCAAACCAAGCTCTTGGAGCTTGTTTTAAGCCATAGAGGGATTTCTTTAACCTGCAAACAAGAGACTTGTCATTAGAAGTGAATCCAGGAGGTTGTTGCATATACACCTCCTCCTCAAGAATGCCATTAAGAAAGGCATTATTAACATCAAGCTCTCTTAAGGACCAACCATAGGATACAGCTATTGTAAGAATGACTCGAATTGTTATGGGTTTAACCATTGGTGAGAAGGTTTCATTGTAGTCAAACCCAACTTGTTGGTGGAATCCCTTGGCAACAAGCCTTGCCTTGTACTTGTTTATGCTGCCATCTGGATTTTCCTTCACACGAAAAACCCATTTACATCCTATTGCACTTCTGTTGGGTGGAAGAGGAACCAAAGTCCAAGTATCATTTGCTTGAAGAGCATCATACTCAGCTTGCATGGCTGAGAACCAGTGAGGTGTGGTCAGGGCCTGTTTAATAGAGCTTGGTTCAAGAGATGTGGACATATTACAATGATAGTCTGAGAGATAGGAATGAGGGTGTGAGGATCGGGTGGAATGTCTTACAGGATCAGGTGCAGGCTGAGAAGGAACATCACATGGAGTGGAAGATGATGGAAGCTGAGGGAGAGGAGGAATGAGTGGTTCAGTATGGAATGAGTTATTGGAATCTGAGTTAGGTGTGGTACCAGTACATGAGGTATTGGAGGCAGGTATACAGTCAGTGTTGCAGTTAATCATGAAAGACAGTGCTGCTGTGACTGATGGAATTGGAGTGACAAGAGGTATGACATTATTAACAAAGGAGTCAGAGCTAGAAGTGTCAGAGAAAGAGGTATCAGATGTAAACCATGAAGAATAAGGAAAACGGTTTTGATTAAACAAAACATCCTTAGAGATGAATAACCTCCCATCAGAATTAAGACACTTGTAACCTTTGTGATGTGGTGAATACCAAAGGAAGACACATTCTCTGGATTTAAAGTCAATTTTATGGTGATTGTATGGTCTAAGGAATGGAAAGCATGCGCATCCAAACACCTTGAGAAACTTGTAGTCAGGTGTGACTCTTAGCAGCTTGGTAAATGGGACTTCAAAATTTAAAGAAGCAGTGGGAAGACAATTGATGAGATAGACAGCTGATATGAAAGCATGATCCCAAAATTTTAGTGGTAGGGAAGCATGTGCAAGAAGAGTGAGACCTGTTTCAACAATGTGACGATGCTTTCTTTCAACCACCCCATTTTGATGATGGGTGTGAGGGCAAGCAATTCTATGAATTATTCCTAACTGCTGAACAAGTTGAGAAAGGGGCGAAATTCACCTCCCCAATCTGTTTGAATGGCTTTAATTGTCTTTTGGAATTGATTAGAGATGAGGGAATTCAACTATTTGAAGGTGAGAAGTGCTTCTGACTTTTGTTTTAAAGGAAAAATCCAGGTATATTTGCTACAAGCATCAACAAAGGAAATGTAATAGGTATATCCCATGGTGGATTTAACTGGGGCTGGACCCCATAGGTCACTGTATATGAGATCAAAGGGATTGTTGTACTTGGTGAGAGATAAAGAAGATGGTAATCTGTGAGCCTTTCCCAAACAACAAGCAGAACAGAAAAATGAATGGTCTTTATTAGGAATGGAGATATTACAAGAGTGTAGAACATTTTTAAGTGCCTCATGATGAGGATGTCCTAAACGACAATGCCATAAGTTGTACAAGTAGTTTGATTCTACGGGTTTGCTACATACAGAAACAGTCCTAATATCACACTGAGATGGTACAACAGTAGAATTCAAATGAGAGAACAAATTTGAAGTACAAGTGGAATTACAAACAGAATTAATAGTGGACACAGAATTGCTTTGCTGCCTAATTGGTCTTGAAGAATGAGGAAGTTGAACACCATTGAACTTATACAATCCATCAGTCCCTAATGCACCTTCAAGAAGAACCTCATGTGATTCCTGTGATTTGACATAACACAAGAATGAGTGAAACTCGAAAAACACATTGTTATCTTTGGCAAACTTGCTAACACTGACTAAGTTTTTGGTAATAGAGGGTACAAGAAGCAAATTGTGAAGAAAAAGAGTTGTGTGTGGATCAAAGGGAGAAGAGAAATAAGAGGAACCAATAGCTTGAATTCCAGACCTTGACCATTGCCAATGAAGATTTGATCAGAACCTGACAGTTGAGAACTCTGAAGCAAATTGTGAGGTTCAGCTGTTACATGGTGTGATGCACCTGAATCCGAATACCAATCCAATTGAGATACTTGTGATGGAGTAGGTAAAAGTCCTCGATGAAGTGCTGCATTTTGCTGTGAAGAGGCATTTTGTGCTGGAAGTGAGGTAAGCATAGCTTGAGGAGAGTGAGTGTTGGCTGGAGGTCTCACATAGTGAAAGGATCTCTGGTATGAGTTTCTGTTGAAATATTGAGGTGCTTCTGGTTCAAGTTGTGTAGGAGTGAAATGTTCATCAAACCTATGCCAACAGTTATGAACATTGTGTCCAAATTTGTAGCACAGTTGACACTGAAGATTGCTACGACCTCCTCTACTTCTACCACGGTTGTTTCTACCAAAGAACCTTCCTCTGCCTCTGCTAGCTGGACAGGAGCCATTGTCATATTGGTGATCAAGTGCAGTTGAGATTACATGATCCATATTATTCGAATTCTCATTCTGATTCGAAACAGGAGCCTTTTGAGCAAGGTTTACTGTCATTGATTCGGATAATAGAGCTTCATTCTGCTTCACCAGCATCATTTCATATGCTATAAGTTCAATTCTCAAGTCATCTAATGTATATGGATTTTCACGAGCACGAACAGAAGAGACAAAAGCATTGAATTCAGGTGGAAGGCCATCCAAAATTATCTCTGTGTGTTCATCTACTGGCACAGGATTCTGTATAGCTTTGAGTTCATCACATAAGGTTTTTACATGTCGAAGAAACTCTACCACAGACTTGTTACCTTTCTTGATAGTTCTAAATTCTAATCTCATATCTGAGTTGACGTAGCTTGGAACGCATCATTCCATGGAAAAGCTTGTGGATCTGTTCCCAGGCTTCATATGCATGATGAACTCCTAGAATTTCATTAAGAATTTCTTCTGAAATTGTGGACAATAACCATGAGAGAAGCATTTGATCTTGCTTTATCCAGTCAGTATATGCTGGATTAACTATCTCTTGAGTTCGATTCAGATCTGACTCATACTGTAGTGGAATTTTAGGATTAACAAGAAAATGATGCAGCTGATGAGACATGATAACAGGCTCAACAATCTGGCTCCAAAGAAGAAAATTCTTCTCTGTTAGTTTGACAGAAATCTGATGATTAAACAAGACTGTAGTCTTGTTTTCGGCCATTGAATCTCGAGATGATGTTGCGGAAGACATGGTGAATGGATCAGGCCCTCAGAAAGAGAGGTCTGATACCATCAAACAAAGAGAGAGAGGAAGAAAGGAGAAGAAAGCAGAGAGAGATTGAATTTGCATGTTATGAATTGATGAATCGAGTGATACAATGAGTTGTTCTTTTATATACAGATTAGGAAGTGAGTGACTCAGCAACTCAGCAACCATATGAGTGACACCTGTAACTAAAAGTCTAACAGAAAAACTAACCACTTGACAGTTGGCTAACCATTTCACAGCTGTAAGGGAAGACTAAAAACTAATTACAAAAAGCTCATAAGCTAGGATACAGAAACAATGCTAATATTGCTACCATTTAATCTTACTATCAATATCACTACACTACCCATTTGTTTCTTTGTTAGATCGATTATATTGATCCAACGATTTTTTTTTTTTTTATCTTTGTATGATTATGATTTTCCATATTTAAAGATAGAAAATCATAACTATATAAAGATGAAAATAAATATAAAGTATTAAATATAAAGAGAAAAATAAGATTTTTAAAAAATAAATTAGAACCGTTGGATCAACATAATCGATATAATAGTAAAACAAACTGATAATGACATTGGTAGTAACACTAATTGGTATTAACAATATCATATCTCTCTTAAATAAATGTGATTCTTTTGTAAACATCTATCGAGAGAGAGAGATACACCCATAATTTGTACATCATCATGTCGTATGGAATTTGCACAAAAGAAAATCAATTCCTGTCTTATTTGGAGCAAAATCAAAATTTGTGCTGAATGCTTGGGTGACTGCTACAATGAAACATCAAATTTACTTGTAGTTTTTCCTTCTAATCGGATTAAATAAAAATATTTTGTGTACCTAATAAAATGAAGAAAAAAAATCATCCTGAAAATAATAGTGTATGTAATCTATTTATTTCATGATTTGAGATTAAATTCGAAGAACTATAATATATGTTTAAAATGTGCAAAATCAAAGAGTTTTCCTTACTGAAGTGTTTTCTGAAGAGCAGGAACAACAAGATGAGGATGATTATCGGAGCAAAAGAGCTTGGAAGTGATAAAGAGTTCGTGTCTAGACCCTATGATGCCAAGTTGAAGTGCTTCAGCTATTGCTTCTCCAAGGCCCTCTTCTGACCCATATATTGAAGCTGTATCGAAGTGTCTATAACCAAGTTTTATAGCCTCTAGCACTGCCACTTTCGTCTCATCGCCGGTGCTAGAAAATGAAGCACTGCCAAATCCAATCACCGGCATGTTGAGATGCAGGTTGGAGAAAGATTGGAGCACCACAAAAGGGACTTTTGATGAAGTCATGTTTTGTTATCACAAGGTAACTCGTCAAGATATGCGGCTCTTTTGTAGATATCGAATTTGTTTTTATATACAACACTGAAAAATAATAGTGTTGTTTTCAAAATTTTAGTGGAATATCTACGTCATTTCCATTCTTACCTTAAAATTTATTCATTTTGGTAATGAATAATTTTTTTTTTTTGGTTACAATCATCGATTTAAATTACGTATTTTGGGGATAATTTCTTTCACTCGTTAAAATTTTGTAATTTTACTTGCTATAAAGCGTGTAAAAAAATGAGTAAGCTAATATATTTTTTAGTTATGGATGAAAAAATATGTTCAACTCAACCTCTCCAATTAGATTCATGTTACCGTCTTATATTTTTATTTTATTTTTTTGTATTATGTGATCGTCAGTGATGACGTTAAACATATTTCAAATTTGGTTTCTCTACAAAATGAAGATGCTTATTTTTAATTAACAAGAATGCATTGGATTTCAAAGGGCTCATTCTCCAAGACTAACGGATAAGGATTCAAAGAAAATTTAAGTACTTCGAAAACTGAAAATGTTTTGTAGGTTTCCTTCAAAGCCGAAAATTCAAATTGGTATCTCGATAGGGACTATTGCAAGCACATGATGAGACAAATTCAAATTTTGCTTCCTTATTCCTAAGAAGAGTGATCAACTGATCATTATGGAGACAATAACAAATAAAGGATTCAGAGTCAGAAAGGTTGGCTAAATTCCCCCTCCTTAACGATAATGTTTAACGTTGATTGAAATAATTTTCTTAACATTAATTAATTATGTAACAAAGGGAAGGGAATAGGGTCATTTTTTATTCTAATTGTTGCATAATTGAAGGAAAAATAACTATTAAGTTTATTTGTTTTAGGGTAAATAATATCTACAAGATTAATTTAGATGATGATAGCTCCTAGGATTTAAGGCATATAGATGTGATTTTATATATAAATTGCCGCTGAATTAGAAAAATAGAGTTGCCTCCAATTTTTATTTGAATTAGGAAAAATTAGAAAAAAAAACCTTTTTACTTTGCAAGCTGGTCTTTAATAATAATTCAGATCAAAGTTGTAAATTGTATAAAAAAAAAAATATAAGTAAGGTAATATATATTTTTTTAGTTATGGATGAAAAAAAAAACAACAACAACTCAACCTCTCCAATTAGATTCATGTTACTGTGTTATTTTTTTTTTTAGAGATCAGCTGCCGAAAATGACTAAAGGTATTATGTAATCGTCAGTGATGACGTTAACATATTTCAAATTTGGTTTTTCTACAAAATGAAGATACTTACCTGTCCGTTCGGGCACTTGACAAGTGTTTTGGGTAATACGATTATTATAAATAAAACTCACATGCATGGTCTCACTACAATGCATATTATTATATTATTATACAATGAACCATTGATTAATATACTAAGAGTGAACACCATTTTTAGTCTTTATCAATATCTACGAAGTCTTTTTTAGTCTCTGGCAATAAAAAATGATCAAATTGGTCTCTGAAATTACAAAAAGGGCCATGTTAGTCCTTATGTCAACTCTCAAATATGTAGAGTGACCCTTTTCTTGTACTTTCAGGGACCAATTTGGTCCTTTTTTATTGTTAGGGACTGAAAAGGACTTCGTAGATATTGCCAGAAACTAAAAAGGGTGTTTACTCATATACTAATTTGAATGCTGGAGTCATTACAAGTGGGTCATCATTTCTTGCGTAACGGAACACTGAATTGAATCATCACCGACGATTAATAACTACAATAAAAAAGTCAAAGAATGGCATCATCAGCCACTTCGAGTATATTCTATCTGAGCAATATGTACAAGTGACACTCTTGTACCAGTAAGAGATATATTACAATGGCAACCCTTGCGACAAGCCACGAAGGGCAAGCAACAAGGAAAGGTAGTAGATTCATTCTCTCACTTAAAGGGTTTTCGTTTTATCCTTTAATATAATATAACAAACTTTTCTATACTCACAATATTTAATGGGGTCTACACTTTTTAAAACAAAAAAATAAATAAAAAATTAAAGCACGCAAAATGAATCTCTATAACATTACACAATCACTTTTCCTACAACACAACTCTTATAAAACCCTTGTTTAAAAGAGCAAAAACATTGTTCAACTTTAATGAACAGCAAACATGCAGTTTGTTTATCATAAATATGTCACGGTCCCATTTCATATATCTGCAGTAAAAGTGGTACCAACTAATATTGGTTCATGGATGATGGGTCATGGAAATGAAATATTGGTTCAATAACTACAAATTAGGAACAAATTATTATTTAAAGCTTAAAATGGTTTGGAATATTCTTTTGTTGTGTCTTAGGAGGTAGAAGCTCTTGAAGTGCTGCAAGGGTGAGATCTAGGCGCATTTGGTACGAAAATTTCGGAAAGTACATTGATAATACCTTCTATATCGTATTAGGAGACGATACATCATTCTTAAAGGGGCAAAAACATAATTTAATAATTGAACTGCATCATTATCAAAGGAACAAAAGCATAATTTAATATTTATATTAATTAAAAATAAGTTGCTTTCATTTCATATTCACATATTAGAGGGAAAGAAAAACAAGTATATCGGATGAAATGTGTAATAAACCCTGATGGCTCTAAAATACAGAGAGCTATCCATTGCATTTATTTTTTAAATCCCCAGTTTGCTATTAAGTTTTATTGCTTTTTGCTAAGTTTGTCTCCGGGAGCACTTTTTAATGATAAATTGAACCGGAGCAATTGTTAAGTCTGGAATTAAAGAAGTAAAGTAAATATCATTTTTGATCTTCAGTAAATTTCACGATACTCGCTTTAGTTCCTAGCAAATAAAAGACTATTCGTGGTCTTTAAGAAATTCAAAATGAACCCATTTAGTTGAAATCGTGGTCCTTTACAAATTCAAAAAAGACCCATATTAGTCTCTCAAAAGGACTAAAATGGGTTCACTTTGAATTTCTTAGGGACCACGAATAGCCTTTTTATTTACTAGGGACTAAAGCGAACATCATAAAATTTGCTGAGGACCAAAAGCGGGCATCATAAAGAAGTATTATGAGTATTTTGGTTTGATTCTATTTCTTATGGGCTGATTTACTCTTTGCAGGAAAATCAACTTCCAATTAAAGAATACTCAATTCAAGGTTGAGGCAAACTTGTGGAAAAAAATTTAGAAAAAGAGAAAAATGACAGAAAAGTAAAAAGCAAACAAAAAGTATCCTTTGCAGCGTCCTTGGAGAAGAAAGCGACCAACCAGGAGTAGCCACATCAGTGATAATAGAGGAAGAATGTTCCAACGTTTTGCAGTACCTCAGCGTCGGGAATTTCAACAAAAAGTGAAAGAAGAAGGGGACTAAGAGAATGGACAGGGATGACATGTCAATAAGGAAACCACTGATTGGAGAGCACCTAAGGAATTCTCAACCTTTGATCTAAACAATGGATGTGAGATGTAACACCCCGTCTGCCGCCAGTGTATTAACATACAAATGGTATTTAAAATGCAACTTGCAATATTTAATCACGGAAGCAATATAATGTTTTATATAAATAAACAAGACTAATCCTCCTGATGGATTAAATTTTCTTAACAATCCTTATGTAATTGCAATACTAAAATAAATATGAAATACCTTGTACTCATAAATAACAATTTAAAAGTATCCATAACTCATGGTGCTACAATACAAATACTCAAGTCAACAAATAAATAGATTATTTAATAGTGGCATAGACAACCCCTATGCTCACCACAAGTAACAAAATATAATCCATCAAGTCTAGTCACAATAAAGTCTCATCATTGCGAAATAAATAATCATAATATGCATGGCTCATAACAATAATGAAATGTTATGTCGGCCTCTTGCCTCTATCAGTGTCTGTCTCACAAACGTCATCTCCTGAAAAATGTGCCCTAGAAGGGGTGGGATTTTTAACATAAATCTCAGTAAGACAAGGGGTCTTCAAGGAATTCTCCACCCCAAGCTCACTTACATGTATAATATAAGTTCTAAAACAGGGCAGACAGTATATAAAGAAGCAGATTAATAACAAGAAAGGGGAATGGCTATACCGGGCCATTTATAACAGTAAACAATGTGGTATATAAAATGAGCATGCCATGCAATGTATCAAATGAGTGTGCAATGTCGTGTCATCATGGTAATATAATCTAATCCTCATGTAATCATATGTCTCAATATATATCATGTGATGTATGCAAGTACGGTTCAACTGGCCAGAGAACATGATAGGCATTACGTACGTCTGCAACCTACCAAAACATGAGGGTCCCTGCCTTATGCCTTACTGTAAATGAGGGTCCCTACCACAACACCAGAGCTAAGTTGAAACTCAGATAACTGTTGAACACAGATGCTGCAGAACGTGCACACACCAAAGAAGCTTTTAGAGTATTTGACACGTTCCTTGAGGAGAATATCATTGTAATTGAGGATAAGGTGAAAGATGTAGAAGGCCAGCTGGTACATATTAAGAATGGCAAAGTTTTGATGAGAAACACCATTGACCATCTTACTTCTGTGGTCAATGATCTGTTGAGATAGGCTCTAAAGTGGTTTCCCAAATCTAAGCTGAAGAAAGTAAATACAAATTGAAGGAGAAACCACTAACACGGGAAGAGATAGATGAGAAGGAGGAAGAGAAGAAGAGAAGAGGCATCAATGTGAAGGGATGGAAATTTCTTTTTAGTACTACATTTTGTTAGATTAATTGTAGTTTCTTTTTCATTAAGTAGTGTAAAAACCTTTTTATATTAGTAAAAATCTTTTTGAAAGTTCAACTTTAACTATTTTTGGCAAAAGTAACTTAGAGTTAGTAATTCTGTTGTCTGATGATAAAAAGTGAAAGCTTGAAATAGAATGTCAATGGGTCAAAACTTTTTCCTTTTAAATAGAATTCTGAAAATGGTTAAAGAAAGAGTTGAATTTGATCTTTAGATTTGTGAAGGATGTTGATCTATGTGAAT